GGAGGGTGGAGGGGTAAAGAGACCCCAGCCCTGCCCCCTCTTCCAGTGCTGCAGGAGTCAGACCACGGCCCTGGGGTTCCAGCCTCAGCCCCAAGCAGGAAGCCGTGTGTGTGTGTGTGAGTGTGTGTGTGTGTGTGTGTGTGTACAAGATCTGCACAGCCCGAGGTGCTGGGCCCTTCTAGCCTCGAGGGCAGCCTGCTGCCCCGGCCACACTGGTCTCTGAGCCCACGCCCGGGGTCCCCTCTGGCTACCACGCGGGACTGGAAGCTGCCACAAACCCAGCTGAGGCTGGCGGCTCCATGTCCCAGCTGTCCAGCCCCCTGGCCCCCCCAGAGAGGTCCTGGACAGGGACGAGGACAGGCTCGTCCAGGCTTCGCACCTCACTCACGTGTGAGTGCCCACCAGCCCCCCACACGCACAACCCCCAAGGCTGGCGGCCTCGTTCTGCCTGGGTCCAGGTCCCCCTCCCCTCACCTCTCCACCTCTCTCCCCTCCACCTTCTTCCCTGCCCAAGACATACCGGCTGGGCTCAGGCTCGGCTCAGGCTGGACGCATTTCTGCAAATCCTGGCGCATGCCTTTCTCCCCCCACCATCGGATGCCCCACCTCCTCCAGGAAGCCCTCCCTGCCTGACTCCTGCACAGCCACACACACACTAACCAACTCCTCCATCTGTGTGAGCCTCTCACGGCAGGCGGGGCTCACCTGTGGTCAGGTACAGCACGTGGAAGGTCTCCCCGTGGCTGGCCTGCATGCGGTGCACGACCACCTTCTGGTAGTGGTACTTGGAGTGGAAGAGCGGCGTCTTCAGAGGCCCTATGGGCTCCACCCTCTGCGCCACCTCGGGGTGACTGTCAGCCACCTGGAAGGTCTCCGTGGGGATCGGCTGCTGGTTCGGGAGGCACTGGGCACGCAGAGCGGCCGGGGTCAGTGGGGCGGCCGGGAGTGACGCCGAGGGGCGGGGCTGGGCGGGGCCGGGCGGGGGCTCACCTTGCCTGGCCGAGGGCTGGGGAGGTTCCCGTGGTAGCCCTTGAGCGATGAGGTGCGGAAGACCCTGTCGATGTCACCGAGGGAGTACACGCAGACGGCCGAGTAGTTCCTGCAGGGACACAGGGCGCCTCAGTGGGGGCCCAGGACCCCCCACTCACCCAGGCCGGCCCCTCAGGGCCATGAGGCACCGCGGCGGGCAGGGAGGAAGGAAGGGAGGGGGAGGGAGGACGGACAGGGAGGGCGGTCACCTGCAACCACAGGGCGAGCTCAGAAGCCGTCCACGTCACCCA